CCCCAGCTCCCCTGTACTGCCCCCCCCCACCACCCCCCGGGTAACATTTCTCTTTTACTCACATTCCTGTCTTTTTGCCCATGCCGCACCTCCCTTTGGAACACGTTCCTGCCCCGAACTAGTGGTTCCACCACTTATTATAATAATGGTGGTGCCCTCAGTATAATAGTGGTGGTGCCATCACGTAGTATAATAGTGGTGGTGCCACCACTTAGTATAATAGTGGTGATGCCATCACTTAGTATAATAGTGGTGCCGCCATCACTAAATATAATAGTAGTGGTGCCATCACTTAGTATTATAGTGATGATTCCATCACTTAGTATAATAGTGGTGATGCCATCACTTAATATAATAGTTGTGGTGCCATCACTTAATATCATAGTGGTGATTCCATCACTTAGTATAATAGTGGTGGTGCCATCACTTAGTATAATAGTGGTGGTGTCATCACTTAATATCATAGTGGTGATTCCATCACTTAGTATCACAGTGGTGATTCCATCACTTAGTATTATAGTGGTGGTGTCATCACTTAGTATAATAGTGGTGCCGCCATCACTAAATATAATAGTGATGATTCCATCACTTAGTATAATAGTGGTGATGCCATCGCTTAATATCATAGTGGTGATGCCATCACTTAATATCATAGTGGCGATTCCATCACTTACTATCACAGTGGTGATGCCATCACTTAATATAATAGTTGTGGTGCCATCACTTAGTATAATAGTGGTGATGCCATCACTTAATATCATATTGGTGATTCCATCACTTAGTATCACAGTGGTGATGCCATCACTTAGTATAATAGTGGTGGTGCCATCACTTAGTATTATAGTGATGATTCCATCACTTAGTATAATAGTGGTGATGCCATCACTTAATATCATAGTGGTGATTCCATCACTTAGTATCACAGTGGTGATGCCATCACTTAATATAATAGTTGTGGTGCCATCACTTAGTATAATAGTGGTGATGCCATCACTTAATATCATATTGGTGATTCCATCACTTAGTATCACAGTGGTGATGCCATCACTTAGTATAATAGTGATGGTGCCATCACTTAGTATTATAGTGATGATTCCATCACTTAGTATAATAGTGGTGATGCCATCACTTAGTATTATAGTGGTGGTGCCATCACTTAATATCATAGTGGTGATTCCATCACTTAGTATCACAGTGATGATGCCATCACTTAGTATAATAGTGGTGGTGTCATCACTTAGTATTATAGTGATGATTCCATCACTTAGTATAATAGTGGTGGTGCCATCACTTAATATCATAGTGGTGATGCCATCACTTAGTATTATAGTGATGATTCCATCACTTAGTATAATAGTGATGATTCCATCACTTAGTATAATAGTGATGATTCAATCACTTAGTATAATAGTGGTGATGCCATCACTTAGTATAATAGTGGTGGTGTCATCACTTAGTGTTATAGTGATGATTCCATCACTTAGTATAATAGTGGTGGTGCCATCACTTAATATCATAGTGGTGATGCCATCACTTAGTATTATAGTGATGATTCCATCACTTAGTATAATAGTGATGATTCCATCACTTAGTATAATAGTGGTGATGCCATCACTTAGTATAATAGTGGTGGTGTCATCACTTAGCATTATAGTGATGATTCCATCACTTAGTATAATAGTGATGATTCCATCACTTAGTATTATAGTGATGATTCCATCACTTAGTATAATAGTGGTGATGCCATCACTTAGTATAATAGTGGTGGTGCCATCACTTAGTATAATAGTGGTGATGCCATCACTTAGTATAATAGTGGTGGTGTCATCACTTAGTATTATAGTGATGATTCCATCACTTAGTATAATAGTGATGATTCCATCACTTAGTATAATAGTGATGATTCCATCACTTAGTATAATAGTGGTGATGCCATCACTTAGTATTATAGTGATGATTCCATCACTTAGTATAATAGTGGTGGTGTCATCACTTAGTATCATAGTGGTGATTCCATCACTTAGTATAATAGTGGTGGTGCCACCACTTCGTGTAATAGTGGTGGTGCCACCACTTAGTATAATAGTGGTGGTGTCATCACTCAGTATAATAATGGTGATGCCATCACTTAGTATAATAGTGGTGGTGCCACCACTTAGTATAATAGTGGTGGTGTCATCACTTAGTATAATAGTGGTGATGCCATCACTTAGTATAATAGTGGTGATGCCATCACTTAGTATTATAGTGGTGGTGTCATCACTTAGTATAATAGTGGTGATGCCATCACTTAGTATAATAGTGGTGATGCTGTAATGAGACAAATCTCACATGAAGAATATTTATATATATATAGAAAGAATATTTAGTAAGAGAGTATAAAAGAGAGCTAGATGTTGGTAGCGTGGCCGTGATAGTTATTTACACTTATCGTATCTTCTATGTCAATACACATCTATTACGTCTTAAGGGCGACTTCTCAAACACCGCTTCGTTACAACTCTTTATTAATTACGAACATGACATGGACACATTAATAACACCTTCTATTGAAGTTACTAGGACATTATATTTACGTTACTAGGACATCATATTACGTTACTAGACACTGATTCTCGGACACGAACATGAAATAAATACACTTCCCACGTAGGTAACTCATCCCATGGAAAGCTCTGACAAACACTCACGTGACCTGGGGAAGGCCTAGCAGGGAGACTGCTTAGCTGGAACACTGGTGTCGGGAGGGCGACTGCTTAGCTGGGACACTGGTGTCGGGAGGGCGACTGCTTAGCTGGGACACTGGTGTCGGGAGGGCGACTGCTTAGCTGGGACACCGGAGGGAAGTCGGGGAGGGAAGTCCTGCATGACTCTCCTCCCGTGAGCGGGACTCGGCTGTGGTGGACCTCATCCTCCGATCCCTGTGTGTCTCTCTGTCTGACTCTCTCTCTGAGGGAGGACTAGGACGTCCTATATATTGGGAGGCGAGCCGTCAGGTTGAGCTGGTCTGGGGGGCGGCGGCGAAGGGTCTCCTTACATTTGCCCTCGCTAATGTAGGGTCAGGTCTGGACCTTTTCAGAGACTATAAGTTGTATCTTCTGGAGAAGTCATCAGGTGGGGCCGTGTGTATATTGGGAGAGAGCCAGCCGGTGCCCCCCTTACATGTGTGACATGGGAGGGGAGCCTGGCTGATTTATAACCTTTGGTCAGCCGTGAGAGTTACCCTACACTTGACCTCCCTAATGTCGGGTCAAGTGTGGACTTCTTTCTGCGGTGTAGGATATTGTGTATATTGGGAGAGAGTCGGCTGGTGCCTTCTTACATGTTTGTTGGCCGTGTGACATGGGAAGGGGAGCCTGGCTGATTTATAATCCATGGTCAGCCGCAAGAGATACCCTACACTTTTGGCCCCCCTAATGTCGGGTCAAGTCTGGCTTTCCTTGCGATGTAAGCTGTGGTCTGACAACCCATCACTACAATGCCATCACTTAGTATAATAGTGGTGATGCCATCACTTAGTATTATAGTGGTGATTCCATCACTTAGTATAATAGTGGTGGTGTCATCACTTAGTATAATAGTGGTGATTCCATCACTTAGTATAATAGTGGTGATGCCATCACTTAGTATATTAGTGGTGATGCCATCACTTAGTATAATAGTGGTGATGCCATCACTTAGTATAATAGTGGTGATTCCGTCACTGAGTATAATAGTGGTGGTGTCATCACTTAGTATTATAGTGGTGATTCCGTCACTGAGTATAATAGTGGTGATTCCGTCACTTAGTTTAATAGTGGTGGTGTCATCACTTAGTATAATAGTGGTGATGCCATCACTTAGTATAATAGTGGTGATGCCATCACTTAGTATAATAGTGGTGATGCCATCACTTAGTATAATAAAGGTGGTGAAATCATTTAGTATAATAGTGGTGATGTTGGCACTGGTAGAGTAGGTCAAGTTAGGTTAGGTTCGAGTGGGTCAGGTTAGGTAAAAAGCCTCAAATTATACTTTACATTCATTATTTAATGCTTATTATGCTTGCTTTATAGGTCTGCTGTATTTTCTTGCGTGACAGTGTGCAGCACGACAGATGTATCAAGGGTAGTACAACGTACTAGCGTCTGTTGCACTTCCTGTATTGTTATATACAGTAGAGTACTTTTTAATCATGTTGCCACTGTAATTGTCGTATCTTGTATATGTAACCCTCGTGACATCGGTTTTTCTTTTGTTTATGCATGTACTTTACTATATTATATATTATAACCCATTTAAAGGAACATGGTGTATTGTTATTCGGCACACCATTGTGTATACAGTCCACTATATAGATTCAAAAAAGATCAATTCTGTATTGTGACGTCAGGACTACATTAAGTACCCGTGTATATAGAACAAACAATGTTCTTTTTTTTTACTGTGTACAGTGATAAAAAGTGATATGAAATATGATTGTTTATGCTGCTCATTTTTCCTCGTGCGCGGCAAATGAAGAGTGTGAACATTTTTCAATTAATTGAAGGTACAGTCTCCTTCATTACTGCATTTACAGAGGCTCGTCATATAAACATTCCACAAATCATTATCTTTGATATATTTGTTTTAATATTGTTTTGATTTGATTCCATAGTATGTTTACTATATTGCAAGTTTCATTCTCTCAAATGTAAACAAACACAGGGCTGCCACACTGACGACCCCCCCCCCCCTGTAAATGCACTAGTGAAGGGGACTGTACATGATAGCAGCACCACACACAGTCCGGCCAACAAAATCCCCGTTATGTGCTTGGCCATGGCCTTTACTATGTTTTATCCTTCACAGGCTTGTACATATTCTGCTCAGAAGTGATCTCTCTCCTAGAACCACAGCCTCTATGGGCATGGGGCGAAAAGACCCCCTAAAGGCTTCCATATAATTTTTGCTTTATTAGAATATGCAATGTATCTTTTGTGATGGGTTAATGATACATATATATTTTCTCCTCCCTACAGACTTTCTACAGCCAGGGTGACTACATTATACGACAGGGAGCCAGAGGCGATACTTTCTTCATCATAAGCAAAGGCAGGGTGAGTAAGGAACCAGTGTAAGAACGATGGGTTAAGCTAAGGAAGAGGGCAGGGTGAGTAAGGGGCAAGGCTAAGGAAGAGGGCCAGGTTGAGGAAGAGGGTAGGGTGAGTAAGGGGCAAGGCTTAGGAAGAGGGCCAGGGTGAGGAGAGGATGAAAACAAAAAAGTTATGAAGTACTGTACAGTAATTATAAATGAATGAAACCTTGATGTCTTAACTCTCATCTAAACAAAGTTGAAGGTTCAAGAAGAAGTCTGTCAGGACAATTCAGGAGTGTCCAAAAGGATAAGATCAACAAAAGGTGGGGCGTTACTTTTGAGTGATAAATTGTTGATTTTCATGAAAAAATGCAAGAGGGAGTCAGTCCCAGGGCAATAAGGATCAGATTTAAAGCAGGATTTGAGAGAAAGGTTATTGTGAGTGTTTATAGGTCTAAAGAGAGAAAGGTAGGGGGAAAGAGAGAAGTTTTGGGAAGACCCAGATTACTACATTGAAAGCTTAAATATGAGAGAGTGATGGGGGATTCACATGTCAATAGTTCACAGACCGTTTTGATCCAGGTTATACTGTAATTTTAGTCAAAATTTTTGGTCAATATATGAACACAGCTCATTTTATAAGGTTATCCTTTATGAATAATATGCAAAATATAGTATGTGTGTCCTATGAAAACAATTTCTAGTGTATAGAAAAGGCCTTAATACAGTATTAGGAAAATCAAAGACTGCATTACATATAGTCACCGTGTCTAGTCATTTTCTCTGAAATACTTTCTTAAAATTTTGGTAAGTTCCATCTGTAACTGATGAATTGTTCCAGGTACGTGTTACCATGAAGAGCCCAGGAAGTCTGGAGGAAAAATACATTCGCAATCTTGAAAAGGGAGAGTTCTTCGGAGAAAAGGCACTTCAAGGGTAAGCATCAGTTACCGTACTGAGCAAGGAATATACAACAAGGAAGTATAACTCTCCCGTATAACCATTTTCTTAAAGAGTTCCTACAGCGAGACTGTGGCGCCACCTGATAGCAAAGCAAACAACTTTTCAACGAAAACATCTTTAAAATGAGGGTAGACTACACAGTATACAGTACTGTTTATTGAGATACATTTTTTTGAGCATCAAAGAAAGAGTACTCATAAATATCATAAAAAGTACAGTATAATAATAGTTTACTTGAACTAAATTGACTGTATAAGCCTTTACTAAATACGATATTGATTGATGTCATATAAAACTTACCAGCACATTATAAATAACGAATGATCATTAAAAGGAAATCCTTAATGTTTCACCTTTTATTCATTGGTGCATATATATATATATATATATATATATATATATATATATATATATATATATATATATATATATATATATATATATATATATATATATATATATATATATATATATATATATCATGGATCCACAATGACAACTGATAATGTATTCAAGACATCTTCAGATGTCTTGAATAAAGACACACATATATATATATATATATATATATATATATATATATATATATATATATATATATATATATATATATATATATATATATATATATATATATATATACACACACACACACACACACAGTAATACCCCGATTTACACGGTCAATTGAACCCGCGGAGTAGCGCGTAAAACGAGAAACGCGTAAATGGAATAACAGAACATAAGGGATTAATTGAAATAGAGACTGGGCCGACCGCCAAACTCCACTTTTTCCGACAATACATACCTTGTAGTAAAAATAACTGTGGAGCTATTCAGATGTTTCGGAACAGCAAGGTACATTTTCCAATACGAATAAAGAATGACTCAATGTGGCATTAGCCCAAAGTGAAGTACTGGTAGCAATACAAATACAGATTCGAAATTCGGTTGCAAAATAATCTTATACCTTTACCATAATGCATTCCTATATGGCAACTTACCCATTTCCTTGGTTACTGTAGTCTACGGTGTGTGGAACATTTAATATAGCATACATTTTAACTTCTCTAGATATACTGACATTCTCCAGTCATATTGTAACAAATTAATTCAATATTGTCAATGAATTAGCTAATTTTGGCCTCCCAAATTAAGTACGAAATGTCTCGCATTCAGGGCTACCAACCCTTGCGAGACAATGGGAATGTATAGTTAGAAAATCATCAGACCCCACCTGTGCGGTCGTTTTTTTATTGAGTGTACATCAGAGGATTCTAAATTGTAATACATAAATGTAACTGAAGCAGTATTCTACAGTAGAGTACAGTTAAGAGTTTGTCATCCCATACTGATGAATTACAGATATTGCACAGTATAAATAAATTTGTGTTCGTGTCAATAAATTCATTTTATCTTGTTGCACTAAATCACAATGTTATATTTGCAGAGAGGATATCCGCACAGCTAACATCATTGCAGATGATCCTGATGGTGTAACATGCTTGGTGATTGATCGTGACTCCTTCAAGCAATTGATTGGTGACCTAGAGGAGATTAAGCAATGCTATGGACCAGTTGACTACTCCAGGAGGAGGTAAGTAACATGCACACACCTACAATTAATTAAGTAATACCTGTACATTTTGTTTGTTAAATTTATATACTGTACGGTACTTTAGTGTTCATGTATAATTGAAGAGCAATTTCAACCATTTTCCTGTGTTTGTTCTTCTTTGAACTTAAAACTTTCAAAAGATATACAGATATTAATGTAAGGAGGTTCATAGGAATCACACCCGGTATTCAACATAAAATATGCTATCAGACGAAATTTAAATTGGAATTTCTTTCTATTTTAGCAAATATTTTCCTGTAATAACTTCGACACAGAAATTCATTATATTTATTTCGGAAATACAGTACTTTACTACATAAATTTTTAAGAAAATATCTTTTTCAATACAGGGTATTAATTGTAATCCTTAGTTATTTTATATCCAACCAACAGAATTTATTTTGTTTAGTGTGGTAGCACATACAGAAACAGTATTGGGCTTGTATAACAGAGCTGACTTGCCTTATGAGGATAAAATAGTGAAAGCTCAATGGAGTCATAAATTAATCACAGGCACTCAAAATGGAAGATTTAATTAATGAGATATGAGACAGAGTTCATCTTAACAAGGCAAAAGAGATGATTTTCTTCATTTTACCCTTGATTCATTTCTCAATGAACACAGGGCAGAACCCATTAGCGGGAATAAATTTCTCCATGTGGTCCTGACAATGCAGTAAACCCTCAATAACTCGGCACATATGAGGCTCTGGCCTTGCCAAGTTATCCCAAATTCCAACTTATTGAGGCACTTCCCCACCTATAAAAATACAACAATAAAAAATTATTGACCCATATCATGTGTACTGTACATGTAATTTCTAAATGTAAAAAAGTAACACTTATCAGCACTGCAGGCAAAGAATGAAGCATCACAGTAGGTGATACAGATGCATGGTAGGTGACACAGAGACATGGTAGGTGACACAGGTGGCCAGATATACCAAGATTTTCCCAGATAATTCTATATATCTCGACATTTCCCGAGTTATACTATAATACATTTCGAGTCCATATCCATGTCGAGTTATATGAAATTCCGAGCTATCAAATGCCGATTTATCAAGGGTTTACTGTACTGTATGTGTTAAATTCTTTTGAAAAAAAATTATATGTTACTGTGATTCTCATTTTATGAAGGTACAGTATATAATATTTTGAAAATATAGAAACAAGGAATTTGAGGAACATTATGATTTAATTTAAGAGAAGAACATCATATGGGGAGAAGTTTTTCAGGAAGAAACTGATGTGGAACTGTCACAGCAAAAGATTAAGATCATTGATTTAGTAGTGAAAAATTTGTGCCCTGGAGGACAAGAAAAAATAAGTACTGTTGCATGATTCAACCATTTAAGATAACTAATAAGAAAATATTATACTGTACCATCTTTGGAAAAAATACCAGAACTTTGTGGATGGATTTGTAAGAGGTGAAAATAAGAGTAAGGGAAAGGGAAGCAGGTTTGGTATACTGTACTGTACAGTATGGGATGCAGTTGGGTGTTAAGTCGGCTGCTGTTTACAGATGACACTGCCCTCGTGGACAATTTAAAAAAGAAAATAACAAAACTTAATAACTGCATTTGGAGTGTGTAGTAGGAGTAATAGGAAATGAGAATAAAAATTACTGTACAGTATTGTACTGTAAATGACCTCATCAAGGCTTTTGACAGTGTTTTTGGAAGATTAGCTCTGAAAATCCACACATGTGGCATTACCAGCAAAATATTAGAATGGATTAAAAGTGGCTGAAGAACAGGGAAAACTCTGCTCTTTATTTCCTTTTTACAACTCCACCTGGACAACTGTATACAAGCAGGGAGTTCATATACAGAAAGTCATTACTGTGCATTGCTGGAAAAGTCCAGTTCAAGGTGACTAATATTATTCCAGAGCAAGACATTTTGAATATTCAAATACCCTGAAGGCTATAGGACTAAGAGCTATTCAACCAAAACACAACAAAGTCATCCTCATAGAGATATTAAAATTCTTGAACAAGTTTGAAAACAAACTATTCTTCAGGCTGTCAAATATTACCCAAAGAAGAAATCACAACTTCAAACTTATTAAAGCATCATACAGGACAGTATTTATTTTTTCAAAGATTAATAGGCCTGTGGAACAGACTCCTTTCTTGAGGCCATGTGAACATAAAACAGTGTCATTCAGAACAGTGATGTATTCTAGCAAAAACCAGACATCCTTTCCTTGGTTAAACCATCACTAGGTGTAGTCGCCTTTTGTTTTTTTAATTTAATTTTAAAGTAAATATGATATGCAGTACAGAAGTTGATGTTTTCCTAAATTACTTGTAATTTTTTAATGGTAACTTTATGCTTATTTCTATGAAATTTAAAATGGGTGGTGCAAATCCATGGTTATGAACAAAACTTATGGAAAATTCAGTAAATTAAATGTTTTGTGGAAAATATTTTCAGAGATATTGCACACTATCTGATTTGTCATTTACTAAAAAAAGACTTTTTGAAACTGATTGTGTTAATTACATCCCTGGTGACGCAAAGACTTCGAAAACTTAAAAAATATAAGTTAGATATTTACTTCTTCATAACAGTACAGTACAGTATTAACATTTAACAGAAGGGTTAAATACAGTATTATTCTCAATACATTCTTGAAGGAAGAAAACTATTTTTATATTGAAGTGTTGCTGTATCATTGTAGAATTATGAATAGTTCTAGTGTTTGTCTCACTCTTATATCCTCATTGGACATCTCACCCATCTAGGATGAACGAGGAGTTCAGCGGTGTGAAGCTGTCAGATCTACGCAAAATTGCTACATTGGGTGTTGGTGGGTTTGGCCGTGTGGAACTAGTACAGATTGCTGGTGACTCCAGTCGATCATTTGCCCTGAAACAAATGAAGAAGAGCCAGGCAGGTTTTTTGGGTGTTTTATTAGGACTTTATATGTTCCCATAAATAACTTCTTGTTTTCACTTCACCTTTTAGGCAAACAAAGAATTTTCTTATTATTGTTTTACTCAACATATTAATAAGTTAATTCTAAATACTGTATGAAGTAACTAACCATTCAGTTATTGCAGATCTTCTGTCCTTTTCATAAGAACTGCATATCAGGATTATGTACCAGTTTATTAAATTGTGTACAGTATACTGTAATAATATCTCAAAACCCAAGTCAGGGTTATTTCACTTTAGGGTTTATACCGTATAGTGAGACCTTCAAAGGGCAGGAATATTTCTTTTGATTTTAACTCCAATCAAAGGGAGTTAGGTGATAAAGGATTTTATTCACAGGCCTTTATTGATTTGTCAATTAATAGTACAGGAGTAAATTTCTTTAATAAGTGAATTTTTCAAGTGAAAAACATTCTTATATGAAATATTTATACTGTACAGGTACAGATCCAAGGCTCTTATAGCAGCATATCATTTATTAACTTGTCCCCAACAGATTGTAGAAACACGACAACAACAACATATTATGTCTGAAAAAGATATTATGATGGAAGCCAACTGTGATTTCATCGTGAAGCTGTTCAAGACCTTCAAGGACCGCAAGTACCTGTACATGCTGATGGAGTCATGTCTCGGAGGAGAACTATGGACAATTCTAAGGTAAGAAATAGGGAAATTTGTAAAATGATTAATACAAAAAAGATGTAATGCAAAATCTTGCAGTAAAGTTAAAAAGGAAGATAGTTAATACCTATGGAGGGAGAGCGAGACCCTGAGTTTATTCAGAGGTGTACCTGAGGGAATCTAACAGGTAGCCAGGATAACATTCTACAGGGGCTATTCTAGGAATTTTCTCAGGACAGAGTTGGGTACACACACATAATGGCTTTTATTGTAGGAGAAGAGGCAGGTACACACTTTACAGGGCAACTAATGAAGGATAGAGGTGGGTACTGTACAACATAACAAGGCATCTAATGTAGGACAGAAGTATCATTTAAGTACAGTATATACACTCCTCGCCATTGCATTATGCGCGAGGTGGCCGACAGGAAGTGATCTTTCCTGAAGTGTCTCAAACCCCTCCACGCAAGCCAGCTGGGGCTGAGGCAGGCATTGCAAGTCTGGCAGTAAAGGGAGACTTGAGGAAAAGTCAGCCAGCAATCAAAACATTCACCAGTTGCCTGCGTAAATTTTGTGAACGAAGATTTATGAGTTTTATCCCCCGACATTGCCCTTATTTATTGCCACAACGCCCGTTGTTTCTTTGTTTTTTTTTACCACAATGGCCAAGAGGAAAGATTTAACAAAAGAGCAGATAGTGTCAATTATTAGTCTGCATAAGGGCAAGAGACTTTTAAAGGAAATATCAAGAATTGTTGGTGTGAGTGAACGATCAGTTCAGATTTGGATTAAAGGATTTCGAGATGACGGCGGGTTGGCAATACCAGTGCACAGCGGATGGCCAGGGAAGGCTCGAAAAACTTCACAACGCACATTAACTGTTCTTAAGAGGCAACTTGATGCTTATCCACGTCTGTCAGCACAGGAATTGAAAGAAAAAACCCTGTACTTCTAGATGATGTTTCTGTAAGGACCATTCACCGCCGCATCCATGACAACCTGCAGTTTCGCAGCCACCGCCCATGCAAGAAGCCACTCCTCACCCTTGTCCAGAGGCAACATAAGGTCACTTTTGCCAAGGCTAATGCTCATTTGGATGTGACTCAAGTGGCAGCACGTGCTGTGGAGTGACGAGGTAACGTTTTATTTTACTGGAAATCGTACTTTTAATGTGTACAGGCGCCCAGGGAGTGATTCCCCAAGTTCACTTTTAGTCATTAATGGTGTGGGGTTGCTTCTCGTACTTTGGAACTGGTGATCTTGTCATAAATTCCTTGGTTAACCGAGGGACAAATTCAGACATTTCTAATGTTAGGGGAGGAGGAGTCCACGATTAGTGGATGCCTATACAGGGTGCCCCCAAATTCACGAGGGTAAAGTTCTCAAAATGGCCGCGAATTGCCAAATCTACGAATAACTAAAGAATCAAGGTGTTGCAGTTCTAATATACTTGTTTTTGTCTTAAATTTTTGCCAGTATTTATAACTTAGTATAATAATTCCGTAATATAATGTTTTGATAAGTTTATCTTTAAAGTTATATGATAATATGACCAATAACCCTGCTTGGAGAGGAATTGGGACAGTTAAAAGCTGTCCTAGAAAGTGTAGCAGAAATATTTGGGTACAAGGGAATAGTAAGGAAAGACAAGAAGAAAAAATAATGGTATTAGAGGCTGGCAGTGTGAATTACGGACAAGAGAATTACTTTGATACAAGAATAGAGGATTACAGTGATTGGAAGAAAAAGACGTTTTTTCTAAAAACCAGTTTTTGTGATATAGTCCAGAATGCGACGTCTAGCTTATACAGTAGAAGTCCAAAAATCCAGACTGCTTGGGTATTGGGTCGGTCCGGATTTTTGGATTTTCCGGATTCTCAGGCAGTACTTTTAAAATTCAAATTTAAGGAGGAACAAAGAAGAAATGAACAGGTACATTTTGATAGTTTATTCATTAGCAAATATAGCATGCTTCATTTATCAAAACGAGCAGTTTTAAAGAAAAAGCTGTGAATTCTAGAATTTTATTCGTTGCCTTTTTTATATCATAAATTGTAGACTTTCCAATGTCGTATGTTTCCATTAGAACAGTATTGCTCACACCACGTTCTAGTTTCTTAATTATTTCAAGTTTGTCACTCAATTTCACCGTGTTCTTCTTTCTCTTCACACAACGAAGTTTATCTACTTTAGGAGCCATTATTATGGGCTTGTACAGTAGTACTCTGTAAATGGAAAGAGTAGGACTCAAAATTACATATGTTGTCACAGTTTGTGCTCGTTTTAAAGTGGCGACCGCGTGGTCGCTTGTTGTCGCTGTACAACTGTGGTGCTCATACATGCGCACATACACACAAAAGCCCGCTAAAAAAAAAAAAAAAAGTTTGTGTTTTCGAAAAGTCCGGATTCTCGGGTGGTCCGGATTTCTGGCATCCGGATTTTTAGACTTTTACTGAACCTAGGTATTGTATGTTAATGCCTAGCAATAACTCGCCAGGCCAACATACAGTCAATTAAAACATCTAATAATTACTTACCACATAATACAGTGGGGTATGCTATAACGAATCTAATTGGTTCTAGAACCTTGTTCGTTATAGCATTCGTTCGTTATAGGATTAATCCATTCCAGGCCCCCAAATACAACCACTTAACACTGTAAAATATAATATAAAATTGTAAAAATTGTAAAAAAGTGCATAAATATGCATCTAAACCCCTGAAATGAAGAATATCATTAATACTTGTAATAAAAAAAAACAATAAATAAGTAAAAAAAAAATAAAATAAAAAAATAAATAAATAAAATTCGTTGTAGGAGTTAAGTTCGTTATAGCATTCTCAATTTTATAGGTAAAACCGTTCGTTATAGGAATAGTAGAATTCATTCGTTATAGCATACCCCACTGTATTAGGAGGACACATCGCTACCTAGCATTTAATTGCAATTCTCAAAACCCCCTCCCGCACCCTCCATCACACGCATTGCTACCGTCGTCTCTTGCCCTAGAGCGAGCTGTAAACAAATGTCAACTCTCAAGGGGTGGAGATGGGTGGGTCGGTTGACGTCGCATTCTGGACTACAGTACTGTACTGTATATCACAAAAACTGGTTTTTAGAAAAAAAAATGACTTTTTGTACAATCCAGAATGTGACGTCTAGCTTTGATTACCCGAGCCAGAGGTGGAGAGGGAGGTGACATTGCGTATAAGGCTCCGCTAGCTCAGGTCCAGAATATAATTATAATTTAGTTTTTTTTTTTCTTTTTTTTAAATATTTTCAATATTAGGAACATTTACCGGAAGGTAAAATGCTAATTTACATATCCAATTAGGATACTCACTTTACTCTGATGAGGAAGAAGAAGGTCCTGGTTGTGGAGAGTAACTAGGTGGGGGAGGGAACCCCAGCACCACCACATGTAAAGCATCTTCCAGAGATAGATGAAGATAGTTGTTTTGAAAGGTTTTTGAAGATTTCCAAAAGCCCACTTCTTTGATCTGACTGAGGCTCATATGCCACATAAAGGCCACAGACCCTGCATATTTCCTGGTGTCATGTGCAAAAGTTTCTTGCCAGGGTCTGCTTTACTCACTAACTGAGATCAATATTTTATCATTTGACTAGGAGACAATTTCTTACCATCCTGTGATGAAAATACATAGGGGCTGTGATAAGGAAATCTGGTTAACCTTTCTTGAAGATTCCTAACTGGGCACAATATATGAGGAACCCTTGTCTCATCCATCAGCCATTTTATTCTGATAGGTTGAGCTCTAAAATCCTCCCTTTTATTTTTTCTTAGAATCTCCGTAGGAAAAAGGGTGACATCTTCCTCGGAAAATACCAATAATGATGGATTATTTTAAATTGAAATCAGCTCACTGATTCTCATACCTGTTGCTATTGCTAGAAGGAAGGCTGCCTTCTGGAACAATCTGTCCCGGTTCACATTTATATTGTAATTAGGCCCCATAAGAAATTTAGTAACTTTACCTAGAAACCAAAGTGGGATTCTCTTAGGCCGAGGAGGTCTCTGAATAAAAAAGGAAGATCTGAGCATTCGATAAATTCTTGGGTTCAAAGTAATATTAAAACCCCATGCCAGAGGATCAGCCAATGCTGATTTATGAGATGCAATTTTCGAATCTTGAAGGCCTTTAACTCTGAACAGAAAATCTAAAAATTCTACCACCACTATTTCCGACAATATGATTGGAGTCATTAACCTGATAAATTGTTGAAAAAGTTTCCAAGGTTTCTCATATTGCATAAAAGTTTGGGGCCTATGACCTGCTATCACTTGGGTAACGATATTGGATTTACCCTACAATCTATTTAAACATCTTTCGAGAAACTCCAAGCGTGAAGTGCCAAGGATATCTCGAACTGAGGGTGCAGTACCTGTTCTAGATATCCATGGATGCGGGCACCAGTCCAATAGATTGAGACACCACAGTTGTAGGATCCAATATGGTGCAATTAAGAGGACCTTGCCTTTGAAGGATTGGAGTTTGTGAACCACTTTGGGCAATATTTTCACAGGTGGGAACAGATAGATTGAATTCCAATGGTTCCAATCTATGAGTAGAGCATTTCCTAAAAGATTCAACCATTCTTGTGATTGTTTTGTGAGGCAAAGAGATCTATTTGTGGAGTCCCAAACCTCCTCACTAGACTCTTGAACTTCGATATCTTTAGGGACTATTCTGTTTCCTTCGATACTAGCCTGAGACGGGACAACGCATCTCCCCAATTGTTTTTTACTCCTGGTATGTGAGTTGCTTTGAGGTAAAGTGTTTGTGTTACACAAACTTTGAATTTTTTTCCGATAGGTTTAGAAGAGGCCAAGATCTGGTTGAGCCTTGATGATTGAGACAAAACACTGCCGTTCTGTTGTCCATGGCAAACAGAATCGTCATGTTTTTGAAATTTGGGTTTGCCAACAAAAAGAATAGGACTACTGCTAATTCTTTTATGTTTATGTGTTTGTCCCAAAGGGAGTTGCTCCACTTCCCTTGACAGAACTCTCCTTTTGAGGAATGGTATCCCCATCCTATTTCGGACGCGTCCGTACAAACGACCAAGTCTGTTTGAGGAGGATCCCAGGGAGATGAACCGATTAGATTGTCCCAATTTTTCCACCAAGACTGAAGATTCTTGTGAATAGGGAGAGAAGAAGCAAAATTTCTGTTTCTGTGAAGCAAATTCAACCCCAGATGAGTTAGTTGCTTCTTCCTTAACTTGCCCAAAGGAACTACTATTGTGGCAGAATTAAACAGACCCAGTAGTTTTTCCCAATCATGCCAAGAAACCTCTTTCTTTGCACAAAAGGCTTCTACTTGGTTTATCACATCTGTTACCTTTGCTCCTGGTAGACTGACTGACTGCTGATTTGTGTCCCAATGGAGACCTATCCAATCCAATTTCTGACATGGTATGAGATTTGATTTGACCTGGTTTATCCTTTATCCTTTATCCTAGGTTTTGAAATAGTACTAGTGTACGTTGGGTCGCCCTTTGACAATCTTCGAAAGAGTTTCCCATTATCAGCCAATCGTCTAGATAAGCAAAAGTTCTTATGCCCTCCTTCACAAGGATCTCTCTGGGGATGTATGCCAGTTTTGTAAACACTTTTGGCTCAATTGTCAGGCCGAATGGCATCACTGTGAATTGATAACTTACATCCCCCACTGCGAACACTAGAAACTTTCTGTACCTGGGGGCAACAGGCACATAATAATAGGCATCTTCGAGATCCAATTTTGAGATCCAAGCATTGGGCGGAAGTAGATGCCTCAGATGATCGTAAGTGAGCATCTTGAAACTTGTTTAGGACGGAAAGATCTAAAATCCACCTCAGGTTGTCGCTGCCTGTCTTGGGGACTGAGAATAGGTGAGACATGAAACATTTCTCTGACTGCAACAGTTCTATCACACCTCTGTTTAACAGTTGAATTACAAATTCTGTGAGTAAGGGGGTTAGTTTTTTACCCCCTTTTTGGTAACACTAGGGGAGGGTGCCTCAACCAAGTCCATGTGAGGCCCCCTTTGATTGTCTTGTAAGCCCATATGGAAGAAGTCCACCTGTTTTCCCAACCCCCTAGACGACCCAGCTGTCTGGCTTCATTGGGAGGGAATGACCGCTGATGTGGTGGAAAAAGGTCTCCTTCCACTTCTGAATAAACGGCCACCCTTACTATGTCTTGAATTGTTTACTCCTCTAAAGTTTCCTCTAGGTTGATAACTGAACCTAGCAGCTGGTCCTGTTCCCCTGTTAGACCTTCCTCTTTTAAATTTCCAAAAAGTCTGAGGAATCCTGGGAACAGGAGAAGAGAAGTGTTTTTTGGGGGGTGGTGGGAGTAACTCCACAAGGGTGTAAATCAACAACCTTGCAGAATGACCTGGGGCATTATCCAGGATGAGCAGTGTTTTAAATACCATGATCTTCATCATTCAAATTTTTTTGACTGGTGACACAGAATGGTGTTTAATCCATTCCTCATAAAGGGCTCCGTTAAACCAGGCTTTACTGTTTAATTTTCACACCATTAGCAGTGTACAGTACTCTTGACAACATTCTTAATAGCTTGAGGATTCTCACTATGATAAACTAAGAGTGGCTTCAGCTTAAAATCCCCTATTGCAGTACCACCTTGCAGCAAGTAAGCAGTCTTTAGCAGCCTTTAATCCTGTACATCCATGAATGCATCCTCTTCCAAAATAAGCCTGTTTCATCAGCAATGAATACTTGATGACCAATTAACCCTGTCTTCAATAATTTTGGCAAGTAATTTGGGAAATTCACTGGCTACCTCCTCATCAGCATTTGCAGCTTCTCCTGTCGCTTAAATATTATGCAAGCCAGTATGGATTTTATACCAATGAAACCACTCCTAATTTGCATTGAAAGGGTCAAACATACTAGCACTGCCATCTTCCCTCCTGAAAAGTTTTCAGATCTTTGCTTTTTCATGAATTATGGAAAGGCTAAGAGGAGCATGATGCTGAAATTTTTAACTGTCCACAATTCCAGAAGCCTTTCCATTTCCTCCATTATACTTTACCACTATGTGCATGTGTTGCAGAAAAACTTGCCAACTATCGACACCACTCTTCACATGTTTCATAGTTTGACCTTTATCTTTTACATTGGTACAGAATTTATTGCTGAATGGGCTAAACCATACTCACAACCGATACATACCATGCTCTCACCCCTCTTAAATCTCTAATGTTCTAATTTTATAATCAAAATAATACTGCAGTGTGCCTTTTCTTCTCAACACCACCAGATGCAGTAGCATCTTCTTTACTTTGCTCCTTCTTTTCATTCATAGTACTGCAGGGTATAATGAAATATTTGGTGTTCCATGCGAAAATACCCAAATAAAAACAAAAGGAAGTGCAGCCAGCTAAAAGCATTTTTTGAGTGTGTTGCATTGGACAGGTTCAGCACAGGTGCAGTGTACGTATTACAGATGTATATACAGTATGTAAGATTAGACGTATGGTACAATACCATTACTGTATTAATTGTATGTATTTGCTGATGAAAATTAAGCAGAAGCTGATTGTACTAGAAAAGAGGTGATGGACTAAATATGAGTTCATATTTATGTAAAGAGTTTTAATATGTAGCCTTTAAGAATGCACTGACTTATGTACAGGTAAATGGATACCTTTGAATTGAAAGTTTTTTTTTTAATTCTTAAAAATTAGAATAGCTAGTTAAAGGATTTTAATTTCAAAATAAAAAAAAATTAAAAAAATTATCACTATAAATCAACCTTCTGTATTTGTATTTTGAATCATCTTTGTATTTGAAATGTGAAACTCACTTGACTAATTAACCTACACATATCTGACACTGCAGCCTTTATATTATTCCTTTTTTTAACAAGTATTGATAATGCATAATACTGTACTGCAATGGCTCCCTATGCTACTGGTCACCTTATCATAAAATACTTATGATAATCAGCCAGACTCTCCCATTTTTTGCTGACTTTCATTTCCAATTTCTTAACCCATAAGGAAACAGGAGCATCGTGTGGTGTATGGACTCGGCTTTCAAGTCCACCTAAGGTAAACTGAGGTTGAACCCATGTGTGAAGTGCAGTGCAATCCTTATAGCAACCTTATAATACTGTGCCAGTTTTGCTGTCCATACAGTACATGTTGTTGTGTCTTTTGCTTTTATATAGGGATTATTAACAGTGAGGTAAACACCCAGTTATTACCAGGGATCATTGCTTACAGGAAAATCTCTGTTATGTGTCTTAACTAAAAGGAAATTTAAATGGGTTGTGCAAGGTGTGGTGTATTGCATATTTTATAGAGCATTTTCTGTATTAATTTATTAGTGTGAAGAGTTATTGTATGAAATAACATAGATTAACAGATTTAATATTGGTGCCTTATAAAAGTTTGATCTGGAAGTGTCGTGTAGTTTGTGTGTCATCTGTGCACTGTGATGATATTGTTCAGAGATATTCTCTTTTTGTATGGGATGACACATTATCCTCACTAAATGATTCAGGAATTGTGGTGACAAGATCCTTTGTTAGATTAATCAGCTATTACAGTGTCACATTTTTTGACTTTTTCAGCCAAAGTGCCTGTTCTCATATGTAACATTTGCAAAACATGTCACTGAGATAAATTAATCTTGTGATTGTTTAATTATTCATACACAGTACTGTATAGTTAATATCCAGTAGATTCATACTACCTTATGTATCTCATGTGCAGTGAGGGGGTAATGTTACTCCAGGAAGTAATTTTGTTTGGGATCTTTGGATGCTATTGTTGAACTGTGTGAACATGAGTAAGATGCGACCATCCAGCTTTTCATCTTCTTTAGTTGTAAGAAGCTTGCTGGCTATTACATTGTTTTCAGAAGTTTATTCAGAATTGCTCAGTGCAGGTGCTATTACCTCTCTTGGGACAAACATTCAGATTAATCTAGTTTCATCATGAATGTTTTACAACTACATCACAACATTACAGATAGGTGCTGTCAGTAGGAAGAGATGACGAAACTAAAGTGGTGAACTCCTGGAATAACCGTTAGATAGGGAATGAAACTTTCTTAATGTCATTGATAATTTTTTATCTGATATTATTTTGTTCTAATATGAATACAGTATTGTTTTATAAGGTATGTTTGTATGTTGAAGATATCGTTTCTAATTATAAACGAGATAAATTTGGTTGGTAAGATCAAATAAAATTGAAAAGGTTTTGAGTAGATTTTAGTAATAAAAGTTGCAGGTTTTGGTTGATTGTTCTGGCCTTCCTACTATTTTTTATACCTATACTGGTATTTATCAATAAATTCAATTAGATTACAGAATTTATTTGTTCATCTACTTTAGATTTGAAGGACATATTGTTATATGTTCAGTTACAAGTGGTTGAGAAGTACAGTATGTGTCTTTTCAGTTAGGAAATAATTTTTTTTGAGGTCCTTCCTTTTGTTCTGAGGATGGTTCATGAATCTCTCAATGATTATATTTGTGTTTCTGCATAAGAAGTTATCTTTGCATCCTCTGTCTTCATGATTGACTGATACAGTATTTGATACCTCCCTGAAGAGAGTTATTAAGGATGCTGGTAATTGTATTCCTTCATAAGTGTGTTGCAGATAGAGCTGCTTAGAAGCTCTCCCTTGTCTAAGAGATAGGTATCGTATACATAGAGCAAGAGTTTGTAATTTCTGTGATAGAATTAGTTATCTCAAATTGACCTTAAAGATGGGAAAGCCAGAAGACATCTCTTGTCAAATGTTTCCTAGAAGCTCCACAAGCTGGATACAGTATGTGTTTTGATGGATACATTATGCCAAGAACAGGAGATCCATTTTTTGGAAAGGACAGTGAGCAAGGGGATCTGTTCCTCAACTTTATAAAATTTTATTTTGTAATTCAAAGGAATTTTAGTTTCCCTGTTTTTCCTTAGAAATTTTGGGGATAAGTATTGTAAGCACTATACAGGTATTAGGAAACCAGTCTTAAATAATTTCCTTTGTGGGAATCTCCATGGAAATTTTTTATTTGCAGTACAATTTTTATGCTCTGTCATCATCATAATTTTACAGCCATTTTCCACAGTTACATGAGCTAGATATAAATATTGCAGGAATATAAAATATTATGCTTTCAGAGTGAATACAAGTTCAAGAATCTTTCTCGTGCTGTCTGTTTTTCGGAGTTGCAATTATTAATTGATAATTTTACAATGATGAACAATCGCCGATTTTCACCTTGGAAAGTTCAGTAGAAATAGATACTTGTTCTTGAACCAGAAAAAGTGGTAGCAGATTTATTTATTCTTGCCTCTTTCATGAATGCTGTAACTCATTAAGAAACTGAAACAATTCCAGGGAATTCCTTCTTTGGTAGCTCTTTGATTTGAGTAGAATCTACTTTTTTTTTCCTTCAGTTTTGTCCAGCACCTGTCTAGATTCTTTCTTTGATTCAAAATGCAAGAAGTGAGGAAGGAGATGGTTTCCTGTCCCAATCTTAATTTTTTTAAATCCATATATATATATACAGTGAGTTCTGCTATAACGCGTGTTTTGACAACGCGAATTGGCTCTAACGCGATTTATAAATAGAGGAACGATATTTGTATAACGCGAACGCTTGTTTGCTGTAATGCAATTTTTGCTTACTATTTCTCCATTTTTGTGATATTAACTGTGAATATGGTAAAGAAGAATATCTCCAAGAAGCGTTCTGGTGATCGCATTCCCAGTGATGATCGTAAAAGAAAGGCTATAACCCTTGAAGAGAAGCTCGATGTTATCTACCTCAAAATCACCCTTCTCCCCCATTAAGTTATATTTATATTTTCTCAAGGTAAAGTGTTACATTTACTGTATGATTTCATTATTAGATATGAATGTAACATTTATTTAGACTGTGCTATCCTTTGTGTTAGGCTAACTACTAATTTTTTTTCGATTTCGAGTAGTAATCTGCACCTAACCCTATTTTCTCCATAAGCCCTGTTATTTCTATTACGTGAATTTCTATAACACGATGTTTTACAAGAACACAACTATCGCGTTATAGCAGAACTGACTGTACAGGTTTTGTCAATTCTAGTTTTTTGAGACAGAATTTTTTGCATTCTGTTACAGTACAGTATTGGTAATTAGGATTAGCTCTGTCATCAGGCATTTTATTTGGGGGAACTTCCATGTGATTTGGAATGGATAATACTATTTTTTTTGTTAAGCATTGAATAAGGATCACAGTCAATAATTCTCACAGCATTGTAGTGCTGTGTGGAGTGCAGGGAGGTAATGAGGTTGGTTGTCATTGTCTTTTTATTTTGTAGGTAGAGCAGTTTTAATACTACCATTTTCTAACAGACCCAGTTACACAGATTGCTTAGCCCTTTCACTGTTGCTGCCTTATGGCCAGCACGCGCCCCCTTTACGGTTTTTTAATATTCAAAAACAAAATGCATTATACAGCATGTATCGGTGAAAAAATTATTCCTTTCTGATTATAGAAACGTTCAACTAGTCTCAAACAATCTTCCCTACTGCTAATATGCAGCATAAGAGTCGGTGTTTTATTACAGGGCAGCTCTGCCAGGTGCTCGAGTTGTCTTGTTTCCATTACACCTATACAATGGTATACAAAACTGTTTGTATTAGCACATAGCAAATTGTATAATTTTATATTTTGGGTGAACCTTTATTACCGGTATTTAAAGTATGCCATGTGCTCAGGATAAAAATTCAGTAATTACCAAAAAACATTTTTTAATAATTATTTTCTCGCACTATACTGTAAATACCTCACTTTACACTTTATTTCTTTACATTTTCAGTAATGTTTCTGTGTATGATATGTCGATATGCTTTAAAACATGGTTAGATACACAAAGGGACATCACATCAGCAACATTTATAGGACATTCTTCTTTGTTTGAGGGATGCGTGATGTATGAACACACACGTGTCCTCTTCTCCGTGAATCAACACAAAATATCTCAAACTAATCGTAGTGGGTGTGTACCTACCAGGACTTGGAGTTGAGGTGGAATGAGCCGGTATGCTGTAGTACCAATTGTTAGGTTTTCTTTAATAAATTGTTCCTGTTGTTAAAATATTCAGGGGAATGCTTTCCAGTTGATATTACTTCTCCAATTTTCAAGTCTACAAAATAGTTAATTTTGTGCATAATCTATATAAATATTTCTATGATAATAAATAAAAATAAATAGAAATACTGAACTAAAATTTTTTAACTGTTTCAGCACATGAACCAGGTATTGGCTAGTGTTATTCTATGATATCAGCTTAAACCTCAAACAATCCTTGAAAATATTGTCACTGTACCTGTATATTAATGTTGTTTAAAAAATTCAAACAAAACCTGTAACAAAGCATCAGAAAAATTGTGGAACAGATAAAGTATTAGGAAAAAAATAATTATGGCAGCAATACATGGAAAGTGTTGTGTTGTATAATACCTTGGCTGAGGCAGTGACAAACATATGTTGCACAGAGCTTGACTTGGGTGTACAGGTTAGATTATATAATGCATATCACTTCTCACAACAACAAAAATACTGTAATACTGTAAATGCTGTATATTAAAAGAGATGAGTGGCCTTGTGGGAAGTATCAATACTCCCACATTTGAACACAGGCTCTTTGTCATAGGACTGCTGTTCACAATTTTGAGATCAAATTATTAAATTCTGAGCATTCTACTTGTTACTTTTTACAAATCCAGCCCTGATACATACTAGTCTGATATGATGATGTTAGACCAATTAATACCTGTCACTGAGCTGGTGGACCACAGCCTTGGTAAAGTCTAGCAGTGGCAGCTTATGACCTGCCTTCCCCTTGTGCAAGTACTTACTACTGTATTTAAAAGTGATCTTCATCGTATGGAAGAAAAACTTTTTATAACTTGTTATAATTTTCGTCATACACACAATTCACTTCCATTTATTAGCATGTCTCTTTTGTCCACAAGTCTCATTTTCTTGGTATATAGACAGTACTGTAGTGAATCACAGTACAGGTGTATTGGGTTTTCTCACTTCTATGATCT